AATATGCCACTTGCCATTGGGAGTTCATTCAGGGGCAAGGAGACTTTCACTGGAAGGTGTCCAAAAGGTTTTGGAGTTGACACATGAGTTGCACTACAAAGGATTGTTTGATCTAGGCAGATAGAGACAGAAAGAAGTATATTCTAGGTGGAGAGAGATTAATAATGTAGATATTATTTTGCCAGCGTAGGTATATTGTATGATAGGTTTTTTTGCCTATGTAGATACATTGTATAATAGTTTTTCAGTTGCTCACGTGAGATAGAAGTTACGTTTATTGGTTGTACTCTCCATTCTAGACACTGTGAAGGATCTAAAAAACATTAAGTGCTGTTTGTGCCCTTAAAGACCTCAGATTGTATGTCACATTTGGGCATCTTTGAAATGATATGACATGAGATATTACATAAAGAATATGGTGGAGCTTTAAACAGTTTCTTTACTTGAATTAGTTTATATCTTAGGATATGTTTTAAATATCAGATTGTTGTTAAGGTTTCTACTTTCTTTTCTTTATTTCCCTTTTTAAGCAAGAGACCAGGAAGTCAAATGCTATTTAAATTATGTAATACACTTTTTCTGTTAATAGTTTACTAAATAAGGAGACAGTTTTGTATTTTATTTGTAAAAGAATAAAGATTTGTTCCATTTGTCACCATTATATTTGTGTCACCTTGCTGAATCAAGACCTGATAAGAGGCTGAATTCACAGAAGTTTGTCCTTGAACCTCGTAAGTCTATCTCAGCAGTAATTTCTGATGCCAGCAATACTTCTCAGCTGAGTGATGAGTCTACTGGGAGTAGAGATTCTATTAAAGCACTCGACTTTGAAAAATACTATATAGTTCATGTTCTCAGGAAATACTTTAGATCCTGACAGTCTTTTCTTTAAGATTTTGTAAAAAGACATTGCTGTTTTCCTGACAGTGGACCATTGGTTTTATCTGAATTCTTTTATCTTTTATTGGCAGTCCACGAAGTCAAGTTATGACCAAGATAATTTTGCATTATAACTGTTTATGCTAAAGAATAATTTAATATAAGGAAGTTCTTCTTATATCTTGTACAATAATGGCATAAACTTGTAGATTAACATTATATTTAGACTCTCCTTTCTGTATGTTTTCTCTCCAGGTGATCACATTCATATTCATGCCTTTACCTTTTACTTGTATGGTAATGACTTCCACATCTATATCTCTTACCTAAAAATTTGTGGCCACACCTCCATCACTGCATTTACTCTTTACTGTTCTGTAATTACTGATTTACTCTGTCTCTGACTAGCTTGTCTTTGACTATCTGTAAGGACTTTAAGGGCAGGGACTATATTCTGACATTTTTCTGGCAACCAGGTTTAATGCACAAGCAGATTATTATAATCCTGTTGATAGTTTTAGGTTTTGTTAATGCTGTTCTCTTTGGGGTTTGCCCTTCTAGAATGTGACCCTTTTGGAGTCTTAATTTAAGCCTGAGATGTATCCCTAGGCAGTTCCACTTTGGCTGGCTTTGTACTCTAACCTTCAGCTGACTGCTGAAGTGTCTGCTCAGCTTTTGGCCTTCCAACTGTTGCTCTCCACTAGGTTTTTGAAATCTCTTCCTGTGTTTGCATAGTTTAGGGTAGACTTCTCCAGAGTAAGTTATGTGTGGATCTTTGGGCTTAATGTTTTTCTGGTTCTCTCCTTTTTGAGCTTTCTTTCTCTCAAGTCCTAGGTGCTTTGGCCTTCTCAGACTGCAGGCTCTGTCTTCTTAGCCCATTTGGGACTTCTGTTTGCTATTCTCCTATGCTGTGAATTGACACATTTCATTAAAAGAAAAATGCCAGATTGAATGTGGAGCTCACCTTGTTCAGTTAACTTTCTCTTAGGGATAGCCCCATTAGGTTCTGCCTGATTTGTTGTTCTCCAGGGCCTTTGTATGGTTGTTTTGTGTATTTCTGTTTTTAATACTGATTTTGGTGAGATACTGAGTCTGATATAAGGCATTTATTTAGTCATGGCTAGCTTGAAGCCTGTGTGCATGCATTATTTAAAAAGTTTGTTATTTTTTTTGTTTCTTTTTATTGAGGTCAAAGTCACATAACAAAATTAGCTATTTCTTAGTATACAATTCTGTGACATTTTGTACATTCACAGTGTTGTGTGTGCATGCATTTTTAATTTATCTAAATGAAAGCCCACTATAGCTCTTGTTCTAGCTTTACCACCTAACAGTTTTTTTAAGAATTTCCCATATTACTTTTCTATTTATTACTTCTAACAATTGCACAGTATGGGTTTCACTTATCCATTCTCCTTGATGGAACCTATTCTGTCTTCTCACTACCTAGACCGTATTGCAGTTAATAAGAATTTTTTTCTTGATTCAATTTTCTTCAAATAAGTGGATTAAGTAGGGGCCTCTTGTGGAGATTTGATTCCATAAATTTCTTATTTGATTCATTATCTTAGATTTGCTGGAAGAATTGTCTCTTGGAAATTCTTGGGCTTTTTGGGATCATTCTAGTCCTTAAAACTCTGTCCCCAGATCCTTTTGTACCAGTCTAATTTTTTGAACAAATCTGAACATCTCTGAACACTGCATTTTGCCAAATAAAGAATTGGTAGCACTTTATATTCTACCTCCTAATGTCTTAGTGCTTTGTGTATAAATATATGCATATACATATACATATAGAAAGCATTGGATGATTAGAGACTTTCTACAGTCTTTCCTAAGGGTAGTATTCTGCATTTACTAAAAAATCTGTGACTTTAGATAATGATAGAATACAGTGTATTTAGTGATTGAACTCAAAATCTGGGTGTTCCAAACTGCTTTACTGCTTATTAGTTCTGTGACTTCAAGCAAGTTACTGAACCTGTCAGCCATGGTTCACATCTCTGTGCTGAGAGTAATAATGGAGTAATTGTTGGATTACACTTAAAGAGGATAAGATGGGAATACCTGGGTGGTTCAGTTGGTTAAGCATGACTTGGGCTCAGGTCATGATCTCGTGGTTTGTGAGTTCAAGCCCCACTTTGGGTTTGCTGGTGTCAGCTCAGAGCCCACTTCAGATCCTCCATCATCTTCTCTCTGCCCCTCCCCTGCTTGTGCATATGCTGTCTCTCTTTCAAAAATAAACATTAAAAAAAATAAAGAAGATGAGATAATATAGAACACTTATTAAAGTTCTGGCACATGTTAAGGACATAGTAATTACAGCTGTTATTGATTGTTTGGTGTTGACTGTAGATGATATTTTTTCTTCCTATTTCCTTTGAATACTAGATATATTTTTATGGTTGTACTGCTCATTTCCACCCCAAAATATGGTACCTTGTGTTATTGTTAACGAGTTATGTTCTTTTCCTTTGCTTAAGTATAAACTTACAGAGAACAGAGATTTTCTAGAACCTAGCTTAGGTTTTCTTCTCCTAAAGATTAAACAATACATTTTAGCTCAGAAATAAACCCATGCGCATGCGGTCGATTTATTTACTACAAAGGAACCAAGAATATACGATGGGGGAAGGATGGTCTCTTCAATAAATGGTGTTGGGAAAACTGGAGAGCCACATGGAAAAGAATGAAACTGAAATACTGTCTTATACCATACATAAAAATTAACTCAAAATGGATTAAAGACCTGAAACCATAAAACTCCGGGAAGATGAAAACATACTGGTAAGGTCCTTGACATCAGTCTTGGTAATTTTTTTTTGGATCTGACACCAAAAGCAAAGACAAAAAAGGCAAAAATAAATAAGTGGAACTACATTAAATTGAAAAAGTGTACAGCAAAGAAAACTGTCAGCAAAATGAAAAGGCAACCTACTGAATAGGAGAAAATATTTGCAAATCATGTATCTGATAAGTGGTTAATATCCAAAATACAAAAAGAACTCATACAACTCAATAGCAAAAAGCCAAACAATCCAATTTAAAAATGGACAGTTCTGAATAGACAGACATTTTTCCAGAGAAGACATACAGATGGCCAGCAGGTACATGAAAAGATGCTCAGCATCACTCATCCTCAGGCAATGTTAATCAAAACCACAAGGAGATATCAGAATGTGAGAATGGCTGTTATCCAAAAGACAAGAAATAACAAGTGTTTATGAGGATCTGGAGGACGGGGAACCCTTGTGCACTCTGGGTAGGAATGGAAGTTGGTGCAGCCACTGTGCAAAACAGTTTGGAGGTTCCTCAAAAAATTAAAAATAGAACTACCTTATGAGCTAGTAATTCCACTCTGGATACTTATCTGAAGAAATTGAAATAATTCAAAAAGATATATGCATCCCCATGTTCACTGCAACATTATTTACAATAGCCTGGATAACAGAAACAATGTGTCAGTTGGTGGATGAATAAAGAAGATGTAAAACACACACACATACATACTGGAATATTGCTCAGCCGTAAAAAGAATGAAATCTTGCCATTTGCAACAACATGGTCGCATCCTGAGGGCATTATGCTAAGTGAAAGAAGTTAGAAACAAATAGTACATGATTTTACTTACATGTGAAATGTAAAAAAACAAATGAACAAACAAAACAAAACTCAAATATAAGGAATAGATTGGTGGTTGCCAGGGGCTGGGGGTGGGGGGAGTGAGGGATGGGATGAAGGAACTCAAAAACTACAACCTTCTAGTTACAAAATAAGTCATGGGGATGCAATGTGAAGCATGGTGACTATAGTTAATCATAGTGTATTGCATATTCAAAAGCTGTTAAGAGAATAAATCTTAAAAGTTTTCATCACACGAAAGCTTTGTAACCATGTATGGTGACCTGTTGTGGTGATCGTTTTGCAATATATAAAAATATTGAAACATGTTTTACACCTGAAACTAATATGTCCATTATACCTCAATAAAAAATTTTTTTAAACAGTAAATAAGAATGTGTTTTTAATCTTTCTCTCTTTTAAAATTTACTTTCTCCTCTCAGTTTTGAGAAACAGAAGACATTTGTGTTTAAATTCAAAATTGAACTTTCTTTTTCCAGATAACCATGATGATTACAGAGACTGCTACTGTGCCTTTTGCTCTCTTTGAGGACGCATTGAGCCGGATGCTGTTTGGTTGGCAGCAGCAGTTCACACCATGTGAAAAGAAAAGTGAAACAAAATCATCTTTTAATGGTACTGGTTCATCGACCTCAAAACCTATAGCTGTTGCTTCAGATACTGTTAAAAAGAAACATACCAAGAAGACTTAGTAAATTTACTGTACGAGCTCTAAAGGCAGAATTTTTTTTTCTTACCTACCTGACAGATGGTGATAAATATTTGTATGTAATGATGTGAAATAAAGTTTATATAAGGAATGGAGGTGACAAAAAGAAAGAACTTCTTTCTATTTCAGGGAGATTGTCTCTTTCTGGATTGTAATTTCTGAGTGTTATGAGTGTATCATGTGAAATTGTTTTTCTAAGTTATATATAAAAGATTCTTTTGTGATTATTTTAAAAGTTTTATATTGATAAAGGGGGCTTGATTTTTTTCCCTAATGTTAGAAAAAGTAAACTTGCTATGATTGCAAACTAATAAAAATTAAAGCCTTTGTTTTATTTAGGTATTTTCAAACACATTTTTTATTTGAATCTATCTGAGCTTTAGTTCCGCAAAATTAAACTTTTACTTTACGTGATCAGTATAATTCCTAGATATGGAAAACAATTCTTATTTAATTTTGAGCACTGGGAAAAGTAAACCTTCCCTAAATCACTTTATATTATGAATGAAAATAAATGACTAGTTTATATTTCAGGTATAAATACTGTATTTTTTAATGTACATTAAATGGAAAATATTTGAAATTTTATTTAATTTTTTAAAATAGTACTATTTTTCATTGAGAACAGAGTATTGGTATGAGTCTCAATCTGAAGTCTATTTCATGCCCTTGTTTATAATGTTCCTTTTTTTCAAAAGAAAATTAGGGGTGAAATTTTTAATAAATTACTAAACCCAAGTTTTGTTTTGTAAGTTTCATTTTAGAAAGTTATTTTTTGTCTTTAAAACATTCATTTTAATTGTAGAATAAATCATTCTTGTCAGCATTTTGCATATTCTTAACTTCTTTCTGATCTTAGTTGATCTATGTTGATGGTAGTAGCTTAATGATTCAGCAAAAAGTATTTTTTCAGTTTAAAATTTTTCCCTATGTCTCCTTTCTAGTGGATACTTTTCAGTTTTCTAGGTGAATGTCTCTTACTAGTTTGCATATGTTTATGTTGTATTTTAATCTACATGTACATACATATATTATTAACTTTATTTTAAATTAAATCTAATTACCCTTATGTGGAAATGTTCAGCTCTAATGAGAATTGTCCTTGGGCATTTGATATCAACCAGCTAACAAAGAAGAACCATAAACTAAAACCTTTTATGATAGTCCATTTGAATGAAGAATGATGTTAAATCAGTCCTTTTTGCCCCCCCTCCCCAAATAAAAGAGAGAGAGGAGAAAAGGTACTAACTAAATAATGTTAAACTTTCTTGTTTTATTTTATAGTTTAAAAGTCTAGTTAGAATTTTAAAACACTGTAACTAACATGATTTTTTCTACCAAGAAATCCTACCTGCAAAGAGTTAGTATGTATATAAGGCATTTGGGGATGGCATAGAAGTATTCAAATCACACTGAAGTTAGACATTAAAATTTTTTTTTGATAAATATAAGCATGAACAGGGTACTATGCTTTTACTTATTATTAAATAAATAAATATTTGGGGGGAGGAGGACCTTTGATAGCCTTGGGATGCTAAGAAGTTTATTTATTTTTTATTTTTTTATTTAAAAAAAATATTTTTTTTTCAACGTTTATTTATTTTTGGGACAGAGAGAGACAGAGCATGAACGGGGGAGGGGCAGAGAAAGAGGGAGACACAGAATCGGAAACAGGCTCCAGGCTCTGAGCCATCAGCCCAGAGCCCGACACGGGGCTCGAACTCACGGACCGCGAGATCGTGACCTGGCTGAAGTCGGATGCTTAACCGACTGTGCCACCCAGGCGCCCCAAGAAGTTTATTTTTAATACTGTGTCAGAAAGCATTAAAATATTTGAGTTTTGTATTATATTTGATACTCTTGTAGTTAAAAACTTTTCAGAATTAACGTGTTACTAATTATTGACTTAGTTTTGAAGTCTGGGTTTAACTGTAGTTGAAATGATAGGAATATTGTTTTATACTTGTGTTAAAGACAATTTATTAAAGTAAGTTATTTAGCACCAATGGAGTATTATATTATTTTTATGTTTTTTGTTTTATATTTTTCTTGAGTTAGTAGTTCAGAACTTCTCTGGCATTTTGACTGATTTCAGTATATATTGAATGATTACTGTCCAAATGGGATATTGTTGCAAGCTTTATTAATCTAGTCATGCATCCTGTAACCTTCATTTCAAGTTTCTTAGGAAAAAGCTGTACTGGAGAACATGGCTTAGGCTTGAAACCTCCCACTCTGAATCTACTCATGCTGCCTAGAGACTTGACTAGATTTGCAAAGCAGATTGTTTAACCTTCTTTCCTAACGTGTAGCATGAAAGAGGCCTGTGGGCCTGTTTCACACAGCCAGTCATAGGGAGTTAGTGAGAAAGTCAAGACCTAGTAGGTCTTCTTAAGTAAGAGGAGACAAGATGCTGGCAAGAATATGGGCTGACTTAGCTCCGTGGTTTCATCCTTTAGCAAAATGTGGCCAAATTAATATCCAATTCTGATTTATCACATCAGTCACTCTTTGCTGAGGGAGTAAGGGCTGGAGAGGGACCAGGTGTATGGAGTAGATGGATTTCAGTAGAAATTCCAGCTTCCCTCTAGGCAGAGACCAAAAGGTGGAGATGAGAGAAGAGGGGAGAGAGTCCCTCTTTACTGTGTTTATCTGTTCCTTTGAGACCAGACACTATTCCATTAAAATCTCCCTCAAAGCACAAGTGGATTGCAGTTGAGTGATATATTGGAAATGGAATAATGTGTTCACTAATGCTCTCTTCCTCTCTACTGCTTTCTTGGAGTTTACATTCCACTGGTGGAGAGACATGAACAAACGAATGTGTTCTTGTGGTACTACAGGTTATGAATAAATACTAAGCAGGATAGAAAGCGAGGGACTTGGGGGTGTTTGTTGAAATAGTATTGCTAGAGAAGACTTCTCTGTTAAAATTGCGTTGTAGCAGAGACCTGAAGAACACATCAGGGAGCAGGCCAGGAAGATATCCAGGTACGTACCAGGGTCTTTCAGTTTCTGTATATACTTGCGTTAGATTATGTACTTTTTTTCCTGAAGATTATCAAATTTATTTTTCTTAGTAAGTACAATTTCACTCTGGTTTTTAACATATATATTTCTTTAATTTGTTTTTGTTTTTACATTTTTTTCCTCTTGAGGTAAAATTTGCACACAATGAAATACATAAATTGTAAGTGTACATTTAAGTAGTTTTGACAAATGCATACAACTAGATATCCTATACTATCAAGATACAGAACATTACCAGCACCTTGGGAAGTTCCTTTCCAGTTAGTCTGCACTGCACCCCCCCCCCCCCCC